ATTTAGTTGTATCAAATTTAAGGCCTTAAAAATTCTTAAATTGTACAAGAAAGTCTTAATTATGATTTCAAGAGGTCTTAAATTTGGGGACGGAAAGACCAGAATTGCGATATGGCTGAATGTGACGATTAAACTTCAAAAGGCTATGATTTCATTAAATAAACATGAGCGCTGCAGGTTCAAAGTCCGGTGCTGCGCTGCTTTGTGTTCTGCCGTTACCGGGGAAACAGTTATATTTCAAACAAACACTCCACCTGCTGGCAGAGAATGAATGAGCATTTTCTATAAAACTGATGTTTTGTTCAGAAATCAGACAAATGCAAAAATCGACCCATGTTTTTACCCTGCAAACACGCAGAGCTTTAAATGTGAACTGGTGGATCGATAAGAAGATAATGCACTATAAAAATCTAAACAGTAGGGGTGTGCGATGGTCTGCGATAATATCGTAATTGTTTTTTAACAATGTGTGATTTGATAGTATCAAGTATATCGCGAAAAGCAAACAAAACACCTACAGAGTGCACGCATACATTAGATGATGAAGGGTTTAATTTGGTTTTGTTTGTGTGTGTTTTTTTGACTCTCAAAGCCGTGATTCCCATTCACTTTCATTATATGACTGACAGACGGCAACAGTTTGAGTTAAAAATCTTCGTTTGTGTTCTACTGAAGAAACAAAAGTCACCTACATCTTGGATGCCCTGGGGGTAAGCAGATAAACATCAAATTTTCATTTTTGGGTGAACTATCCCTTTAAGAACTGATAAAGTACATGGTGCACCTGGGAACTGGGAAGTATGCCAATGCTTGAGCAGACAGAGAGGGAGATATATATAGTTGTGATTTCTATCTTCTTGGCCACTTATTTCCAATAAAATATGCAAATAAAATAAGTAAAAGTAGTAGTCATGGAGGTGACAATCAGATGTAGCCCGCATTCAGGTGAGGTGTGAATGTAGCCTTGATTTCACACAGCATTTTTTTCTTGTCATACTCTTTAGTAAAGAACACAAACAGGGTCTCACATTTGCATGACTTTTCACATGAATCTATAAGTGTATGGAGCCAGAATGATCTCAATAATAAATCACGCAAAAGACTCGATGCACACATGCATAACCCAATTCACATGCATGAGAAATAATTCACGTGCACGAAAAAAAAAAATCTATATTCACAAAAACCAATTCACGTGCACAAAAATAAGTATATTCATAAAATACGTTTCACAAATGCAAAACACAATTCACAGATGTACAACTGTGTACAAAATTTTTGAATGTTAAAAATTCACGAGTTTATCATGGGCTGTGAATGTGAATCGCTCTGGATTTGTGTGTGAATTTTGTCTGTCGACCAATCATAACCCACTGTGGGCGTATGAATCGCATGCCCTGGGCGTGCCTACCTGGATGCTGACGTCATCAGCGTGAGTCCACCGTTCAAGTTAAGATTCAGCAGAGGTATGTGCAGTTGATCGTTTTATTTCAGTTAACTAGCCAAGTAAAGGTTTATCGTTTTATTTTTGCATGTTTACTTAAAACTTGGAAGTAAAATTGGTCATTTAGACACTCAATAATGACCAATTTAATGAAGAATCATTATTCACGTGGATAGCATACCACATTAAGATATTAGAGTCAGAAACTCAGTGTAAATCATAAAATAATGTTTTTACTGATGGGACATGTGGTAAATAAATATAAGATTATGAAAATATACTTTTTGTTTATTGAGAATATGAAAGAGCTGTCACAGCAGAGCTTGTCTTGTGTGTAAAGTGATGTGATGGCTCGCATTCAAGTGATGACAATGTGATAACATGCACACTCAAAACAGTCATGTTGCAACACATTCTTGTTGACAGTTTCAACAGCTTTTTAAATCATGCATTATTACTACATTTTTTGTTTTGTTTATAACAGGACCCCGAGGGATAGCGATACAGAAAGAGCAGAAAGCATGAGATAAAGTGATCAAATAACTGAATAAAGATTACTGAATAATCTTTGTTGCATTCTTCTTTATGATCAGTCTTTGTCTGACCAGCATAAATTCCACAACTGTTACCAAGCAAATACAACTGCTGCTTACCAAAATCATCTTGTGATGTAAAAAATCTTTGAGATTACAATACACAACACAACATAAGAATAACATTAACAATGGTTAATCACAGTAATATAATATGAAAAGTAAATGAATGTTGATTACACTAAGAAATTAATACATAAATCAATGTGATGTACATGAAAGAGACAAAGATGAATGTGAATGAAGACGTCTGTAACTGTCATCCAGATGTTGTCTCAAAATTCACACACAAATCCAGAGCAATTCACATTCACAGCCCATGATAAACTCGTGAATTTTTAACATTCAAAAATTTGGTACACATTTGTACATCTGTGAATTGTGTTTTGCATTTGTGAAACGTATTTTATGAATATACTTATTTTTGTGCACGTGAATTGGTTTTTGTGAATATATATATATATTTTTCGTGCACGTGAATTATTTCTCATGCATGTGAATTGGGTTATGCATGTGTGCATCGAGTCTTTTGCGTGAATTATTATTGAGATCATTCTGGCTCCATATAAGTGTGATGGCAAAAAATATTTTTACTACTCTGACCACAATTTAATTGTCTTCCAGAATGAATGTACAGATGATTGTAAAAATTGTTTCTTTTTCTAAACCTCTTGTGACTCTGAGGAAAATGGCAATTTCTTCCCAGAATGAGTTTTCAAATGACGTTTCATGCTGCTTTGACTTTTGAAACTCTTCTCACACTGAAGACACTTGTAAGGTCTCTCTCCAGTGTGAACTCTCATGTGGAACTTAAGGTTTCCTTTAACCCTGAAACTCTTTCCACATTGTTCGCAGGTGAAAGGTTTCTCTCCAGTGTGAATTCTCATGTGATCCTTGAGGCTTCCTTCTCTTGAGAAACTCTTCCCACAGTGATGGCACATGAAAGGCTTTTCTCCGATGTGAATTTTAACATGATTCTTAAGGTGATTTGTGTCTGTGAAACTCCTTTCGCACTGATGACAATTAAAACGCTCATCTCTTAAATGAATTGTCATGTGATAATTAAGGTTTTCTTTATATCTGAAACATTTTCCACACTTATCACATATGAATGGATTCTCTCCAGTGTGACTTCTTATGTGAGTCTGTAGGATTTCTTTGATCCTGAAACTCTTTCCACACTGAGGGCAGGTGAAAGGCTTCTCTCCAGTGTGAATTCTCATGTGGACATTAAGGGATTTTTTCTGTGTAAAACTCTTTCCACACCGAATACATATGAACGGTCTCTCTCCAGTGTGAGTTCTCATGTGAGTTTTAAGATCTCCATTTCGTGTGCAACTCTTCCCACACAGTTTGCAGGTGTAAGGTTTCTCTCCAGTGTGAGCTTTCATGTGGACATTAAGGGATTTTTTCTGTGTAAAACTCTTTCCACACTGAATACATATGAACGGTCTCTCTCCAGTGTGAGTTCTCATGTGAGTTTTAAGATCTCCATTTCGTGTGTAACTCTTCCCACACAGTTTGCAGGTGTAAGGGTTCTCTCCAGTGTGAGTTCTCATGTGAGTTTTAAGACTTCCATTTCGTGTGTAACTCTTCCCACACAGTTTGCAGGTGTAAGGGTTCTCTCCAGTGTGAGTTCTCATGTGAGTTTTAAGACTTCCATTTCGTGTGTAACTCTTCCCACACAGTTTGCAGGTGTAAGGGTTCTCTCCAGTGTGAGTTCTCATGTGAGTTTTAAGACTTCCATTTCGTGTGTAACTCTTCCCACACAGTTTGCAGGTGTAAGGGTTCTCTCCAGTGTGAGCTTTCATGTGGACATTAAGGAGTTTTTTCTGTGTAAAACATTTTCCACAATGAGGGCATATTGACGGCTTCTTTTCAATGTGAATTTTCATGTGGGGATTAAGGTTTGTACTTCGTGATTTTTTAGCTTTTTTTGGTGAGGAAGTCTTTTCAGTCTGTGAGCAACTAACTGATTTTTCTTCAGTTTTGAAATCATAGTGTTTATCATTTTGATATTTCTCTTCGGTTTCATTCAGTTCTTGACTCTCCTCTTTCAGCACCATCAGGTCTAAGGTGAAAAGAGACAAATACAAGTTAACACCAGTTTAACACAGCAGCTAGAGCACTTACTAGTCACAGTGACTACTGTCTGCATCATCTTAGTCTGAGAACAGACTGCAAAAAGAATGAGCATTTACTGGCCACAGCATTGGCCAAATTCAATCTGAAACTAAAGACACTTCATCAGTGCCAGTCCTCCCTATACGCAAAGTACGTAAGTTGTGTACGACCCTCGAACCACCAGGGGCCCCATTGCAGCGGTGCAATTATTAGAATCTTAGTTTCATTGTATTATTTTGGCTTCCAGCAATAATGAAAACACAATGCTGCATTCTGTTCCTGTCATTTAAAGCATGGTGACTTTCCTTGTGCACAATCTGAGATGGTGTGAAACACAGACAAGTAGGCTACTGCTTAGGGTGTGTACTTAACTCAGCAAATACACTCAAAAATGTCAAATACCCTTCTTAGTGAGTTTTCACTTAAATGCAGTCAGTTATGTCTCAAGTGAACATAAACAATCGGAAAAGCAATCGAATTGAGCACTAATGCTTACAGTGTGAACGTAGCCTAAGACCTGAAATTGGTATGAGACATGTAAAATACTATTGGCATATTCCAGGACAGCGTTTAACTTCAAATTTTCACTCTCTTACCTCCATCTTGTGGACGTGGATGTATGTCATTGCTCACGTTGAGGAAGTGAACAATACTGGCAGAACCAGTGCGATGGGTTTAAATGGAAAACTCTGGATCACTGACTTATTATTTGCCACCTTTTCCTTATAAGTTTGAAGAAAAAGTTTATGCAGCATCCTATAAGCCTATAGATATGAAATAGGCATTTAGGGAAAGCGTAAAAAAATACACAAATGAAAATAATCAAACATGATATATAATCAAAGTGAACAAAGAGCACTCTCTTTATAATCACTAGAACTGTCAATTACTTCAGTTCAGCATGAGCTCATTGACTGAGTTCTGCGATGGCACCAGAACTCCCTTTAAACTCAATAATGCTGTCTATACTTTTTTTTTTAAATCATGTTTTAAACAGATAAAAAACTATATTAAATTCTCATTAAATCCCTTTGTGTGTGTCAAACGATCACTTGCATTCATGTAGAACATTATATTTTGCTATTGACCATTTTGAGTGAGGAAAGATGGGTGAGGGGAAGGAAGTGGATGAAAATGAAAGGTGAGAAGGGGGTTTTTCTCACATCTTCTCTAAGTGAGATGTCAGAACAGATGCCTGTATGTTAATACACTGTGGGTGTATTGCCCATATCTCAGAAGATCAAGGTGTCTGAGGTTCTTCAAGTCTTACAATTGAAACATTTTCCACACTGTTGGCAGGTGAAAGGCTTCTCTCCAATGTGAATCATCATGTGGACTTTAATATTTTCCTTGTTGAGTAAAACTCTTTCCACACTGTTGGCAAGTGAAAGTCTTCTCTCCTGTGTGAATTCTCATGTGGGCGTTAAGAGTGTTTTTATGTAAGTCTAAGCCCGACGGATGATAGGGCTTATGCAGTGGCTGGCCAAGCTGGCTCAGTCCTGCATACGATGTCTGTGCAACAGGTATTTCAGGCCAAACTTTTCTGTGACATGGACGAGTCTGGCCGTGATCCTAGCGCTACCAAGGCGACGACGCAGGCAGTAGGCAAGGCCATAGCCAATCTGGTAGTGTTGGAGCGCCACCTATGGCTAAACCTGATGGAGATCAGGGACGCTGAGAGAATGGCTTTCCTTGAGTCCCCAGTCTCTCCAAAGGGACTATTCGGCCCTGCCGTAGACGAATTCATGGAGCGCTTCACTGAGCCACAAAAGACGTCACAGGCGCTGCGTCATTTTCTACCTAAGCTCCCCAGCCCGGTGACTGTTTCAAGCCGCCCCAAGACAGCGTCCACACAGCAGCCTGCAAAGCCAGTGCACTCCCAACCCCTGCCTAAGCCAGAGCCTGGGCTTCAACAGTGCCCCCGGACAGCCAGGAAGTACCCCTTCCCGAAGCGCCAAGATCATTGCCCTCGCGTAGCGCTAACCCAGAGCCTCAGAAGTCATCCTGATCTGCGTTTAGAGAGGAAGAGGAGAGGGCCAGTTCTCGCCAATGCTGGAACCCCCTCAAAGAAAGCTCGTGATCATTCCCCACCTCGTACACCTCTGAGCAGTGGAGTTCTTTTAACAGGGCACGTCCTGCAAGTTCAGTATGTGCCCCAACAAACTACCGCTGTGATAGCAGACCCACATACATTAAAGAGCATTTCTCGTCTCCCTGCAATCACAAATGCCAGTACAGTCCCTGGCCAAGCGCACTTTTACGAAGTGCATAGACTCTTTCCCCCCTGAGGCAGATGGGAATCCGCATTTTGAACTACCACGATGACTGGCTAGTACTAGCCAAACCAGAACGGGAACTTACCACTCACAGGTCATTGTTGCTCAACCACCTAGAGTGTCTTGGGTTGAAAATCAACTCAGCCAAGAGTCTTCTGACTCCTAGACAGCGAGTGACCTTTCTGGGGACAGTCTTAGACTCAATGCAAATACACGCTTGGATTACGCCGAAACGCTCCCTGAACATTCAGCGAGTGGCGTCGTCGTTCAAGCTGAGAACTCCACGTCCCCTCACGGTATTTCAAAGGATGCTTGGTCTCATGGCGTCCACCTCAGTTATTCCCCTGGGCCTGCTACACGTGGCCTCTCCAGTATTGGCTAAAAGCCCACGTCCCGTCCCACGCCTGGATCCCATCGCTGCATCAAAGCTGTGGCCCCTTGGACAACTCCTCGCCTGTTTCAATCGGGCGTGCAGTTGGGAACGACCTCCAGAAGGAAGGTAGTCACGACGGATGCCTCCAGCTCGGGCTGGGGCACTCTGTATGAGGGCAACCCGGCATACGGCTCCTGGCCGACCCACGAGTGATGCCTACATATCAACGGCCTCGAAATGATGGCTGTTTGTCTGGCCCTGAAATCTTTCCTGCCAGCCTCGAAGGGGCACAATGTCTTGGTCCGCTTGGACAACACGACAGTGGCAGCCTATATCAGAATCAGAATCAGCTTTATTCGCCAAGTGTGCGCAAACACACAAGGAATTTGTTGTGGTTTTTAAGAAGCTCTTGGTGCATACATGCATACATACATACATACATAGATTAGGGATGGGAAGATTCACCAATTCACCCTTTGTGTGCATTGGCAAAAAAAGTTAACGATGCGATGCATCGGTTTAAAAAGTGTGCATCGGATACAAGTTGGCATTTGTATCGCGATGCATCATTTCTAACATATTTGCATCGGTAAAAAACGATTTATTTATATATAATTACTAGTGGATGGCTACACTTTTATTGTTTAGAAAGTGACCAATAATCTGTGACCAATATTTTATATGTAGATTGATTTCTCCTCTCGAAACTGTTTCTCAAGCGCGTTCTCTCATCACTGCTGCACATGAATATGACATCACAACAACACTACAGAGACCTGAGGAAAAGCGGGGATTAAACTCTCATCACTGCTGCACATGAATATGACATCACAACAACACTACAGAGACCTGAGGAAAAGCAGGGATTAAAGTACAAAATCTGACTTTAAATAATCTAACAAATCAATCGGGGCTAAAGCAGTTCCATAAACGACAATGAAAGTTCACACAATCTCACTAATTTGTGGACGCTTAATCTTAAGCAGCCCTTAATGTCGATTATGGATCCACCATGGCAAACAGCGAATATATATGTGCTGTTTAATGCATTTGAGACGTTGCGCTTTCCTTAGTGCATAACTGACATGTCACGAGTATATTTTCTAAGTCATGCAAATATATCCATTTTGCTTGCTGTCAGGAGTGGGCGAGGCATACGTGAGTGAACGAGCTCTGCTGCACACTAAACAGACGGAGCACAATAATTCTAAGTCAAATATGCATTTTGCTAAAATATTCGTTGTTGGACATTAAATGTGCCATTTGTAGAATTTTAAAACAACATATAAGTGTATTCTAATGATAGCAGTAACTGTAAAGGGACTATTGTAATGGGTAAATAAAATGTAAGCTAATACAGTCATTTGTTTTATGGAACCAAATCATTTGACAGCGAGTCATGCTAACTGAAATAAGCCTGGCGTATTTGGTAAACTTGTTTTATGAAACAGGCCTCGAGTCAGAAGACACATAAGTTAATTTATGATTTGCTGTCTGTCTGAACATACATACATACATATCTGACATGAGAACAGAACTATTTAAATAAGACTTAACAATAAATAATAATGTGTATGAATCTGGAACAGAAGATTTATGTACAGATTTGTGCATTATTTACTCTATATATACAGCTGTATAAAAATATGCATATGTATTTACATAGTACTTGAGAGAGAGGCAATATTTAGAGATGGAGAATGAATTACAGGCATGAATTACAGAACACAGGTAATAATTCCTGTGTTAGCTTGTTTAGGCTGGAGATGGCATGGGGGAAAAACTGTTTTTATGCCTAAATGTTCTAGTGCACAGAGATCTGTAGCGTCTGCCTGAGGGGAGAACTGCAAACAGGTTGTGTCCGGGGTTGAGAGGGGTCTTTGATGATGTTACCTGCCTGTTACTTCACTCTGGAGTTGTACAAGTCCTGAAGATTGGGCAGGTGGACACCAATGATCCTTTCTGCTGTCCTAACAGTCCGCTGCAGTCTTCTTATATCTGATTTGCTGGCTGACCCAAACCAGACAGTTATAGAAGAGCACAGAACCGACTCAATAACAGCTGAGTAAATTTGTCATATGCGCCTGTGGCCGGTTGAACTTTTTCAGTTGACGAAGCATGTGACTTCCATGCACAGAATCATTTAAGAGATTCTATGAAAAGGGATACTGTGTTAGTGCATCTAAGCAAGTAAAGAGAATGCAAGCAAACATATGCTGTAACGCTTCTGTCACAGTCAGAGACAGTTTTTTTATGCAATGTTAAAGTAAAGCTTGCCACTAAGAAAGATGTTTCTTA